CTGACCTCCCCAGGCACTGCACAACATGGATGCACTTACACACATGCAGGCAATACACTCATACACATAAAATAAAAAATAGCCGGGCGTGGTGGCACACACCTTTAATCCCAGCACTTGGGAGGCAGAGGCAGGTGTATCTCTGAGTTTGAGGCCAGCCTGGTCTACATAGCGAGTTCCAGGTTAGCTGAGGCTACAGGGAGACCCTGTCTCAAAAAAAAAGAAAAAAACAGAAAACAAAAAAACAAAATAATAAATAAAATATATTTTTAAAAAAAACTCTACCATTCACTGTATACTCACTCCTAGAACTATCTAATCATAGCTGCTAATTCCCAGCCTCTTCCTACCCTGAGAATATAGGGAAACAGTGGGGGTTCCCACCCACATAGCTAACAGCCTAGCAGAGAAAACCAGCCAACTGACCTCCAAACAGTTGACACCCAGCCCTCCCCAGAGGCAGGGAGTACAAGTTGCTACAAAGCAACAAATGCACCTGTGCCAGGTACAGGAATGAGGTAGCCACCCCCCAGCAGGGCATAAACAGCAAGGGGCACCCTTGGGTTCCATCCAGGAGCAACAGAAGCCACTGAAGGTGGTCAGGCCTGGAGCAAAGTAATCATAGTTCAAGTTATATAAGTCACTGGGATGGAAGGGCATACCAGGAGAGACTGGAGAGGTCCTTCTAAAAGGCAGATGCAGCTTACGGCCCATCAACAGGTAAATGGTTAAGCAAAATGTACTGTGTCCACTCATGGGTTATTTAAACACCAGAGGAATGAAGAAGCAATACACCATACACATAACAACACAGAGACCCTTAATAGCCAGGGAAGGGAGCCTAGCACAGTGGGATAGGGTCATACACATAGTTATGAATATGTTCATATAAAGCAGGCAGACTCTCAGACAGGGAACAGATGAGAGGCAGCTCAGAGTTTGGAGAGAAGACAGGAGAAGAGCTTCTGGGTAATGGAAATGCCCTCAAATAGAGGTGAGCCATGGCCCAGGCCTGTGATGTAGGAAAAGCCACCCAACTTCCAATGGGTGATTGGGATGTGTGAATCGTGACTTAGTGACACAGAAACCAGAAGTCCAGGAAAGGACAGCACTGAGCAGGCCCAGGGTGGAAAGATGGAAGAGTGGGTCCTGGAGGAGGGCTCAGGGAGAAGTGTGGGTCCTGGTGTTCGTGAAGCCTGCTGCCCAGTTCCACAGTCTTTCGTGCAACGTAAAACAGAGCCTTCCTCACTGGCATTTCTCTTCAACCATCCTGTTTCAAAAGGATGGGCATTCTTGGGAAGAAGATTAAAATTCACCTTTCTGAAGGAGAGAGTTCACAGAAGAGCGTCCTTTGGGCTGACAGTCTTGGGGGTGAGTGCATACTGATTCACGCAGAGAACGCTGGTGTCCCATCTGGCTGAAGATATGATTCAGGGCTGATGAGCGCCCCATATATAAGTCCTTTCAAGAAGACAGATTTTTATTGCCGTACTTGAAGACAGGCCCTTGAAATGCAGAATTCATCAAATCAACAGATAGGGCAGTGCCCCAAACTCCAAGTTCATCTTCAGGGTCTCTTAGCCAAGCCACACTAGCTCCAACTGCTTTTCAGACAAAAGAGAGTTATCGCCCGATAACTCTGCTCACAGGAGTTTGCAGGAAGGAATCACAGGAAGCCAGGTATGGGAGGCCACTATGCATAGCCTCTAAACAGCAGTGGGAGAACTCCAGAGGGGAGGTGGCTTCAGCATTTATGACTCATCTGTTATTTACAGGAAGTGCTTGATGCTTGACAATTCAGATTAAAATGTTACTGCCTCTGGTGTGTGCTACAAATTCTCAGAATAAAACCATGGAGGCAGCTAATGGAGGCATCACATATCAGGTCTTGCTAAAAAAAAAAATAAAAAAGTGGCCCATCCTCCCCCAGATCCAAGATCAACATGGAGGGGCAGCCATACTACATGGACAGCCACTGTCCCTCCCTCCCTGAAGGGAGAAAAAAACAGGTACTACCCTTTCAAAGCAGGTCCCTTTCTGTTAAACCCCTAGAACAGAAACGGTGGAAGGAAAACTGAACATAAAATTTATCTCCCTACATCTGACCAACAAGCTGTCTACTTCCAGGAGACCTTTCAACACATCTCTATGTCTCAAAGTAACAACAACAACAAAAATCCCAGTGCCAAGGTCATAAATTCGGAATTGATGCATGGGCAATGGGCCAATCCTTTATTTTAATATCTAGTTCATCATCTGCATGTGCACTTTTAATTGAAACAACCTTATTTATATCTGATATTCCAAACAGGAAAACCTGTCCCCAAGTAACTCTATAGAGGAACTCAACCTTTCATTTTTCCTTGAATTAAAAAAACAACAAAAACAAGAAAATAAAAAAATCTGCCCCTGACTTACAAGTTTTTTTCACCCTGATAGTTTTGGGGTGTCCAAGCTGAGCCTCTTCAAAGCCCTGGCTCAGTCCAGAGTTACCTCGGTCTTCTTTCATCCACCTGCCCCCAGCCAAACTGTCAACCACCACTAAAATCTCCGGAGGACAGCTGAGGTTACAATCCACCCGGCAGATCGCCAAGGTGAGCTTGGACTGAGGTCCCCAGCCGGTGTGGGAGAGGCAAGCCGCTCTATTAGCATGCTGAACCCGGCCTCGGGCCCCCCTCCTCTCCCTTGCTATATAAAGACCACAAAGAAACAAAATACTACACAGTTGCTGTCACAAACTCAAGTTCCGCTGGGCAGGCCAGACCCTGGCTGAGTAACAGATGTTATTTTTAGGCTTCTAAACGATAAACAGTCTTAAAAGGCCAGAGAACAAAAGTTTTCTGGGCCCCTTTCTTTCTTTTTAGGCACTCACACAAAAAGATGGAGGTACTGTTTGTTCACAGGCAACCTTCCAGAGTTCAAATTTAAAGGCAAAGGCATCCTGGGGTAGGCGGTCGCTCCTTCCCTCAGCGGCAACCTCCACCTTCAAAGGGGATTTTTCAAAGATTCCTTTTTAGTCTTATCTAAACTCTGGCCTGCCAGATAATAAATACCTACTCTTTGCTGTCACCATAAAAATTTAAACAGCTTTGAAAACAGTTGCCATAGCACAGAAGAAACGATCAGGCATAAGCTCGAAGACCCACTCCAAAGAGCGGAACTACTACCACGAAGCGCCTACATAAAGAGACATTGTTGCAAAGAGAGGTGATGGGTCCTGGCTTTTCCCTTTTAAATCGACTAGAAGCCTGAGATTCAACAACTTGGCTTCTTACCCTCGGCTGTCTCAGTGTTCCCACATTTGTTGTTGGATTTTTTTTTTTTTAAGTATCTGATTTGATTCTACACAGTGATTAAACATCTTTGTGCGCCGAGAAGGGTCTTTCCAACCCCTCCCCCTCCAAAAATGGCATCGAAGCAATCAAAATGGTAATGCGGGGCCAGGGTCCCCTCCCCCCTCGAACTCCCCGACTTCGCCGAGAACGCGCGCAGCCCCCCTCGGGCGGGAATGGAAGCTTCCACTCGTGGACGGGGGCGCGCAGCCGGGCGATGTGGTTGGTGAGGGGGGGGAACTTAGGCTCCGACAGAAAGGGGTTAATGCCTCGGTACCCGGTCTGCAGTCCAGCCAGGAGGCCCCGACCGGCCGTAGACCGGCCAGAACAGCCTCCCCCTCCGCGGCCCCCCGCGCGCAGCCCCCCTCGGGCGGGAATGGAAGCTTCCACTCGTGGACGGGGGCGCGCAGCCGGGCGATGTGGTTGGTGAGGGGGGGGAACTTAGGCTCCGACAGAAAGGGGTTAATGCCTCGGTACCCGGTCTGCAGTCCAGCCAGGAGGCCCCGACCGGCCGTAGACCGGCCAGAACAGCCTCCCCCTCCGCGGCCCCCTCCCCTCCCGTGAGCCCCCCTCCCACCACTTTGCAACTTTAAAGACTCGGC